GCGTCACGTGCAAAGCAAGTAAAAGAACGTATTATATTAAAAAAAAATGCGTCGAAATGTTCTCGTTTTTTCCTTTTCTGCATTGTCTTATCTTTATCTATTTTCAGATACATTACGCAAAAGTATTTCGTAATTATTAAAATTATTATAATAAGTCAAAGAAATATCAAAATTGCTAAATTTTTGGCGACCCACAGTTTTAGAAACTCTGGTCTAAGGCAATGGTCCTAAACTTGAATTGCAAGCGGGCCGAATTCATGATTTGAAACTAGTTGACGGACAAATTTTTCTTTTAACAGAACAGAGTTTTAAACTTAATTTTAATTTTCTTTACTAAATATTTATTCTAACATACATAAACGGTAATAATAATGACACAAAGGAAAAAATTCCAATTTATATTTATTTTCTACTTAAATTCTGGAAGAAATTCCTGTTAGTTTCGCTTAGTAATTCAAACGCGTTGATAGATAAACATTAATTTTTTTAGGCGAACATTTATTTCAAATAACTGTAATGTGTTAAATTAACTACTAAATAACTAACTTAAACTAAAAATAAACTACGAAAACTTTCCTAATGGGACAAGAATTAAAAAATGACACAGTATTATCTTTTATTTGGTAAATTTTTGATTCATACATATAGGGAAAATACATATATTTGTATGTAAGTAAGTGTGTGCTGGTTATTTTGAATAAGAGAAGTGAAAAATGAGGAATGCCCTCTTCGGAACTCGATCCACGCACCCCTCAAATACGCGGCAGAGTGCTAACCTTTACACACCACTAACGCAGATATATGGTGTAGTACATGATTATGATTTGGGGAGCTTTCATTGGTCTTCAGTTTATCAATTTATTTTATTCAAACTGTATTATTACATTTTGATACATTTTTCTTAAAGAAACCTAAAAAGCAGACGCTGCAAAATTTCCATAATTAAAATAATAATAATAATAATAATTTTAAAAGGGAAATAAATTGAAAAATTTAATCGCAGAAAAACTAGATGCGGGCTGAAAAAAAAAATTGAAACTGAATTTTTTTAAATTTTTTTGCTAAGAATTACTTTATTTTTACGAAACCACTTCTGCATGACTTCAGATTTACTTAACATGTTCGCTGCCGAGCGACATTTACAAAAACGGTTGCACCACGCCAACAAATTTTAATTACTTAATTGTAAAATAAAAATACAAAACATGTATTTATGGTAAAGATATTGAATTTATATCATTTTTAATTGCTTTTTTAATTATACGAGTTACATCGCAGTCGGTTTTGGCGATAAAATGTTTTATGACCGCGCCAACTACGAGTACACTCGTAATGACTATATTCGTAGTTGGCGGCTGCTTAAAACAAAGACTGGTTATTTTTACAACAATTATTATAACAAAGATTATTATAAATTGTTTGATTTCTTTCACAACAATTATTATAACAAAGATTATTATAAATTGCTTGATTATTTTTACATTTCTTATGTTATTTACTTATAAAGTATTTCTCCCACCTTCTTAGCATGCTTTCGTGGTGTAGTGGTCAGCACGCTCGACGCGTATTCGAGAGGTCCGTCGTTGGAGTCCTGGCGAGGGCATTGTTATTTTTCATTTCTCCTGCTTTAAAAAAATGCCGCATGGTTCTACATACTTTATAATTACTTGTAGTATACTTATATTAATTATAATAAATCTCTTACATTGTGCCAAATTGTTGTGTTTTTCCTAATTCCCAAAGCCAGAGAACATAAAAATACTATGGTTATGATAGTATGTGCGTAGGTAAAACAAAAACGTTCGAGGATTAGCTCGGAGCTGGCACCTATACGCAAACTTCGACCTAAGAGATAACTCGTGGTCGGCAGCAAACGTGTTAACATAGGTTCAGACATATTTTAAAATAGATACTCTGGGGAAGCTAATGACAACCACGTTGCGATGACGAGATTTCAATGCAAATTACCATTTTACGAACACTGGATACCTCTAATCACCGGATAGTACGAGGCAATTCAAAACTTAAAAAAGTATTAAAACTTCCAAAAATCTGCATGACTCATTCGTAAGTTCGCAAGAGTTACAGGCTCAAAAGATGACCAACCAGCGGGATCTCTGAAGGGAAAAGCAATGTCAGAGAAAAGATGGTCGCCTCACTGCTGACGACGACCGCATTTTATAATAGCAAATAGTGATGCAGTTTTTGAATACAGAAGGCTAGGTTTACATAGGTTCACTGAAACTAGTCACCGGACAAATGCTGTCTTAATATGGTAATTAAAATGTTCACTTCATGCGGGCCGAACACGCGATCTAAAAGCAGCTAATGGGCCGGATTTTTGCTTTAACAAAAAAGTTTATAAAATCTGGTATTCTTAGGAAGTACACTACCGAACTCTAAAAAAACTACAAGTGCTATGAGACAAAAACAAAAGTCAGAAGAAGGATGTATAAGACCTTTCTATTTGAACACAAAGAAGCAACAATGACCCAACTTGGGTTGCCAATCTCTGGCTTTTTAGCAACAACAAGCCAGAAATTGCTGTTACTAACAAGGCAGAGATTAAACAACTAACGTTGAACTATATAAGGTATTTCTCCATCCTTCTTACTTCTTCTTCTTCTTCGTGGTGTAGTGGTGTAGTGTCTTCGTGGTGTAGTCAGCACACTCGACGCGTAACCGAGAGATCCGAGGTTCGAGTCCCGGCGAGGGCATTGCCCATTTTTTATCTTCCTGCTTCGAAATAACCTAATGTCTCTACAACTAAATCAAATGTAGTAGTACGATTAGCCTAACGGCTCAAAGAATAAAGTAAAGGGCAGAAAAGGCTCTGGTTTGTAGAAAACCGACGAGACAAGCATAATGGCTAGAAGGACAGTCAACGCCACAGAATCAAATCCCTATTTAGTCACGGTTATAGCCGCCCAGACGGTATAGTGTTTAGGGAAGCGTGACGTCATAGGCAAGTGCCTGCCATTGGGGGGGGAGTCAAGGTAGCAACGTGGCCTCAAGTAGGCAGAACACGCTCTAAAATCAACTTGAAAAAACCTTCGTTTAACTAGTACTTCTTTCTTCCTAGATCTGAATAAACGCCTGTCATCTCATTTACATTTTGGAGCGTGAAAAGAGAGTGAAATACTTGATAAAATTCAAAATGAACTATTAGTCAAAAATAGATAGATAACTCCTTACAAGTATTTTCCCCCCTTTTTTTTAAACAAAATTTAACTAAATTAACTACTTTTAATAAAATAAAATTTAACTAAACTAAGTGAAACGGACATTTGTAATTTTCTTTTGGAACCGATGGAAAATGACGTTTTCAGACAGCCCTTCTGGGCTAACGCCCCTTTGGCCAAAAAAGATAAGACTAAACCACTGTGAAAACACAACACTACGATTTTAGGCCCAAAAGAGCTGTGAAACTGAATTAGAAAAAGAAATTTGGAAATTGCTTTCGATTCTTTACTTCATAAGCATACACAGTATACAACACTGAAAGTTATACTGGGGCGACGAAGCGATTAACCCCAAATCATAGTTAAAAAAGATATACGAAAAGAAGAAGAACCCACATTATACAGCTACCAACCTTGAAATCTAAAGAAAGAAAGAGGAAAAAAAAAAGGGAGGTTCTGAACTCTGGAGTTTCTGAGATGTTAGGCTGCATGACGGTGTCATATCAATAAAACTCCAAATTGACTTAAATCTGCTTCATCATTATGCATGATTGTTATTTAAGTATTTATATTTCTGATGGACAATATACTTATTAATTAATTACATATTCTAAATTTTATGTTCTTTATCTAATTTCATTTTGTAACTCTTACACTTTTAAAGTTCTGAGCAGAGAAGGGAAGCTTTAATTTAAAGTACTTTTAAACATTTTGAAATTAAAATTAACAAGTAATCTACTTACTACTGTGTGGATAACTTAGTTATGTGCCATAATCATACATTGAGATGAAACAAAATTTGATACAAATATTAACTGATTCAACATCATAAAGTTCAAACTAATCTCTCAGCATATTCAGACAATTCAAATCAAATGGAAAATTTAATAAGAAAATCATGCTGAAAATAACATGGTGGGGGGGGGATAAAATTTGCACAATTTAAGTTTCTTAAATTCAATCTATTTATCACCGAAAGGCACTTTCCTTACTGAAGGCTTAATTAAAAAACGGAAGATTCGTTTATCTAACCAAGGACAGGTAGGTATGACAAAAAACCAGGTCTCTTGGTAAAATCGGAAGAGTCGGCGGCAGCTATGATATTATAATTAACAGGAAATATTAACAATTTCCCAGCATTCTGAAGCAATTTAATCTGAAAAATAAGTTGTTCTCGTTTAGTACAATAAATATGTATTTGAAACAATAGCAATGCTTTTGTTTTTGTATTTTGATGGGTGTTAACGGTAAACAGAACACTTTAATTTATTTTTATGATTTAACAATTTATTTTTAATGTACTTATTTTTATTCGTGTGTGCCAGTTAATTATTTAAACTGGGCACTGGTGTGCATAAAAAGAACTCTTAAATACCATGACATCATCTACTTTCGTTGCTACCTCACATACATTCTTCTCCCTCTGTACTTCTCCGTAGAAATTTTGTTTAATTTCTGATGGACTGTGAAAGTAATCTTTGCATCGTTATGAAATAAATGAAGTTAACTACTTAAACGACAAGTTAATCCGCCACCGGTTAACGGGCAATTAACTGGAGATGATTTTCTCTGCAACTACAGTAAGACAAAAATAAATCATGGTGCTGCCATCTAGTGTCAAAAGTATAACACGAATGTGGATATGCCAAAAAATTAAACTGGCTTCATTCCAAAACCAAACAAAATTTAGACTTTTACACATCATATTTCAATACACGAAATTTAACTAGAACATTTTTATCATTATTTATATGCTTACTGTATAATTATTAAAATAAAATGCATAAAAATTATTAAAATAAATGGAATAAATACATACGTGATATAACTTCAGCACTGATATCTAGTGGCGCCACCTAGGGAGAGAAATATAAAGTTTAGTTTCCCAAGTAAATAATAATTGACTTAGCTGCAATCAGACTTTCAGTAATAAAATAAAATCTATTAAAGCATGATAACAGTTTAACAAAAAAAGTAGGGATTAACTGGAATAATACAAAACAGTAACAGCAAATAACACAAAACATAACAGATATCAAATTAAAACATATGCATTATTTATTTTTCTCCTTATCTATTTATTTATTTTTTTTTTTTTAATGTAAAACTAGTTAAAATGTTTGGAAAATTTACCAAAAAATATAAGGAATTAACTCTTAATTACCATTTAAAAATAATTTTCTATTTATGTATTAATGTGGTGTATGTATTAGTATGGTTAGTATTTCCTCTACTTGTCATTTAACTGCCAGTGACTGACAAGCATCTAAAATGTTTTACTGCCAGTATTGTTAGGACTACTTTCTACAAACTTACTCTGCATTAGGCTATGTATGCAGATAAAAATAGCACAAAGGAACTTGGAGAAAAATAATGGCGCTGTTATACATGATTACAGATTAGAACACTGATGGAAATATACATCAGTATTTAACGACGAAAAATTCATAAAACGAAAATTTTCATATGCTATGGGTTGAATGAATGTCGATTAGTGTTAAATTAAAAATGATAACGAAAAAACATCATATTCTCTCAATATTGAATATAATATAACAATCAGACGCAATACTAAGTTGTGTAGTTTGCGGGGTATTTTAGTTCAAAGGGGCACAATTTGCCCTGAAGGACTATTATTTTCGTTTTGGCAATTTGTGTTGGTTCACTATAAATGTCCGATTCACTTTTCAAACTGTTGCCACCAAATATTATCGCCTGTATTATATAAAAGAAATTAAATAATAAAATATTTAAAGGTTTTGTTTCTAGCATTGAGATAAAACAAACGCTACCTAGGCCATACAATTTTGAATAACGTAAGTTTTCCACCGAATTGGCATCTGAAGCCGAATTTGGTATTTGTTTTATTATCTACTTCATATTTTGTAAAACTTTAACGAATTTTTAATTAACGAATTCAACGATTTAAAAGCGAGCAATGGCAACGCTCTAAGGAGGGGGTGGGTGGGGGGAACTTATCTCCAGCGCGCGGAATTGTGTATCGGAAATTCTAAAGATGGGCTCATTTTAACATTATTTTGCTATTTTTCTGTTGAAAGGAATTTTATGGTTTAAGTACGATGAACATGATATTTAATAATAAAAGGCAACACACAAAACGTTAAAAAAAAAAAAAAACTTTGAACGTAATTTAAAATCTGAAACCGTTCTACAATAAAAACTACAAAATTTTGCTCACACTTAAAAATAAAATAAGAAAATTACGCAAAAATTTTATATTACGCTCAAAAGGGCGTATTTTAACGTTTTGTGTGTTACCTTTATTAATTAAATATCATGTTTTTCGCACTTAAACTACATAAAATTCAACTTAACAGCAATATCACAAAATATTTAAAAACAGCATATCTTTAGAATTTCCAATACACAGTCTCGCGCACTGGAGATTTTTTTTTTTCCCCCGTACAGTGTTGCCATTGCTCGCTTTGAAATCTTTACTTTGTTAATCAAAAGTTCATTACAAAACTTGAAATAGATAATGAAACAAGTTCGAAATTCAAAATTCGGGTTTCCAAGTGCCCATGTTCGGTTGGAGGACTTCGTTATTCAAAATTTGCTGGCTCTAGGTACCGTTGTTTATTCACAATGCGAGAAATATTCATACAGATTCTTCATTATTTAGTTTCTTTAAATATAATACATGGCGATAATATTTCTGGCAGCAGTTTAAAAAGTGAACCTACACAGAAAATGAAACGATGCAAAATGCCATTTTGAGCCTAATAGCCCTTTTTACCATAATTCAGTGTTACATTATTATTATCATTATTAAAAAATATATGCAACGGACAGTTCGAACTGTTCGAGAGTAAAACTATTTTTAGCAGTCAAACTATAACAGAACCACTTGATTTACACTTCTTTTACAGGTAACATTAGAAAGCATGTGCGAGTACTTATATGATACTCAATTATTATTTCTATATTCATACTAGACAATTTGGAATGCCAAACAAACAAATTGAAATTTTAAGTCAAGTTAATGATTTAAAATTAGCAAATCGAGAGCTAAATTCCATATCCTATTCCCTAACTAAATTTTCTCGACATATGAACACTTCTTTTTCTTAGCTAGTTTTGAATATTGAATATAAGAGCTTACCATTGAATTAAACCTATATCTGTAGTTATTAAAAAATCAAAAACTTCGATGCTAGTACCCTTCCTTTTATAAGCCTATCATTTTACATCAACCAACTATGATGATTTAGACCTTTACTACAACTTTTCCTTTTCCTCATTAGAAATGTAAATGAGTTACAGAATGTTTAAATGGAGTGTTTTGGGTTTGCATGCGTCTCGGTGGTGGTGTGGTGTATTTAATTATGGCAAAGCACACTAGGGCTATCTGCCTAAGGGGAGGGATGCCTTCGTGGAGGACCTTTCAGGGAAAACTGGCTTCGTTACACGTACATGGGGAAAACCACGAAAACACTCATGCCGCCAGCCCGTTCGCGGGATTCGAACCTCGGATCAACTACCAGTGTTCAGCGACTTTACCGCTCGGCCGCTAGTGGGCGCATGCGTCTCGGGGCAGTGTTATTTGGTTTTGCCAGCTCTGACAAGACTGAAAGTATTCGGCTTTGCTGCCCTCATTTAAATTATACGTCGGCGAGAAGTTCTTAGCCTATTTAGAATTAAAGTTAATTGGCTAGTCTTTGACTACTATGATAAGTTACATCTTTCAAGTGGCTAATCTTGTCAAGCACGATAAGTGAATTTTTATATTCAGATTCTGATTTAATACTAAGGTTTAAAACCTTTTCAAGATTCCATATTTGTTTTCAGACACAGCAATAATTTGCTTAATGTAATATTAGGAAACTGACACTAGTTTATGCTTCCAAAGGAAGTGAGGCTTTAAGAGGTTCATTATAAGTTTTAGAAATAGCTTGAAATAATCTCAGCTTCTGAATGCACCTAAAAATTGAATTGAAATTGAAAAAGCTTTTGAATACTTTCTTACAGAACGTTTTGCATGTTACAATAAATACAGCCCACCTTTTTTTGGTTGGCCCTATGTCTGAAATAATTCGGACATCATGACGTTCCTTTCATTTATTATTTTTTAATTTAATTCACTAATACTTAAAGCTCGTTATCCCTTCCCAAAACACATGCTTCATTTTTTTGTAAATTTTTATTTTTTTAATTTAAAAAATTGTAACTTTTAAATTAAAAAAAAATTAAGGCAGTAAAAACGATTGCCTAGGAAAATTTTTCTATTCCTTAACACATCCTTGGCATACATGCAAAATGTTTCAAAAATCGTTCATAATGATTAGTGGATCAAGATATATCTATTACTTGTCTCCCTCGAAATCGATTATTTTCTAAAATTACAGTTAAATCTTAAATAAATAAAAGCTGAGAGCTATCAAGTTTTATATTACAACCAAAGGAGCTTTTTTTAAAAAAAACATTTTCTGTGTTACCTTTATTTATTAAATATAATGTTTTTCACACTTAAACCATAAACTTTAGTTCAACTGCGACATCACAAAATAATTTAAAAAGAGCATAACTTTAGAATGTCCGATACACAGCCTAGCCCCCCCCCCGCGCTGGAGATAATTACCCCCCCCTTTAGAGTTTTGCCATTGTCCGCTGGTGAATCGTTGAGTTTGTTAATCAAATATTCGTTAAAGCTTTACAAAATATGAAACAGGAAAGAAAACAAATTCAAAATTTGGGCTTCCAGATGCCCATATTCGAGTGGAGGACTACGTTATTCAAAATTTGATGTCTCTAGGTACTGCTATTTTTCACAGTGCGAGAAACACACATACATTCACATAGATTCTTCATTATTTAAGTTCTTTAAATATAATGCAGAGCTCTAATATTGGGTAGCAATAATTTGAAAAGTGAAACGCCGTTTATAGTGAACCGACACAAAATGCCAAAACGACATTTATAGCCCTTCTGGGCAATTTGCCCTTTTAGGTTAATAAATAAAATAAATAAATAATATTAGTAATTCGTAAAATTTATTTTCTGTTTAAATTTGTGTCGAATTTGTAATACTGATACCTCAATTGCAAGATTTTTAGGCATTAGCTAAACACAAAGCAGATGTAATTTTTTAAAATAACATCTTTCAAAATATGACATGCGATAATAAAACGTTAAGTTAGCGTAATATTAATTCCAACTTTTTAAAATATATTATCTTGTCAAAAGTGCATTTAGGAAGTACTAATTTCTTTACTGTCAATGTGATGCTCCGCGTCAATAGCATTAAATACGCAAATTCTCATGTTTTCAATGTACTTTTCCTTAACAAATGTAGATGGCAGCACTGCGAAGCTGTTCTTCAATTTGCACGAGTAAAGGAATTGATGTTTGTTGATACGTATTTTCAAGCAGGAAAGCTTTCCAATTAGATTAAATATGAAAACAGCATTGCAGATAATTTATTTTTTCGGTGGCGCTACTCATATGTTCTTGCAAGAAATTTGTTCATAGAAACTTTAATGAAACATTTTTAAAGTCTTTTTCGCAGTATATTCGTCCATCTATCTACAAAATTCACATCATCAGACAGAGCTGCCTACCTTTGTTATACACGCTATTTATTGTTATGGAAAATCTCAATATCTTTGGTTCTTCACAACTCCAGTTTAGCATTTGATTGCCTTGACATTCCCTTTGTCTTCTTTACTATTAATGCAGACGACATTAAAGCGCAGTAGGAAAATTATTTTAGCATCAACTTCGATCCAAAAAAAATTATACACATTTATTCAGTTGTCATAATTTATTACCTTTTATGATTTGAAACTTCTGTGCGTACGATAAAAGCAAAATATATCAATCAACCAAGCGGGCTAAA